CCGTCTCTGTGGTACCATGGTGCTACCATGCCCATGGCCCTACTATCCGTCGCCTCACATCTGCATCCCTTTCTTCACGATCGGTAGATCTGCCTTTGTGGCACTGTGACACTCCTTCGAGTCCACCTCCATTTTAACCGATGCTTGGTTTTAGGTAGCTAAGTCCCTCTAGACTCGTCGTCGCTTCCTCGCCCCTTTCGACCCCCTACTTCAACACCTCTGTGTTCTCCAAGCAGTTCCCCTTGATCGATGGAAAGACAGACTGCCACTCTCATGCATGGTCTCTACCATCATGTTGCAAGGTTCGCACCGATTCTGTTCTCCTTAGCTTCCTAAGTAGCAACGTTCGCTTACTCGGCCTTGTCCTCTAACTTGCCGGGCTCCCTTAAACGAATATGGGCTCTGGAGCAGTCCAACTCTCCAGCCTGTCACGAACTTAGCTGGAATTGCCTAAGTCGTTAGGCACCCTTGCGACCAAGACGCGAACTTAGCTTGAGTTGCCTAAGTTACGACGCATCCTTACACCAACTTCTTGGACTTAGCTAGGATTGCCTAAATCTTGAGGCGTCCTTGCGTCTGCAAAGGTTCAGCCTAAGTGCAACCTCGTACAGGTCCCGAAGGACCTGTAAAACAGAAAGTTGATTAGATTGAAAACGAGTGACGGACAAGTCCCGACGTTTCGCAAAGAGGGAAGCTTTACAAGCAATTCAGCAAGCACCTTATGTGCACAAGAGAAAAGAGAGAAAGGAGAAAAACAAGGACTTTAGAAGGTAGAACGAATAGTTGCAAGTCCACAAACAACTGCTCACTGGGTACCGGGTGCGAAGGCAAGTTCCCGTCAAAAAAATGTGTGAACTTGTAAAGATTGTTCAACACCCGACAATATACCAAAGCCCCATGCAGCCCTGTGCCACCCGGGGGTTCCAAGGTGCAGAGATGGCTGACATTTCACGCTCTGCAGCGGGCTACAGAAAACAACCCGCGGCACACAAAAACGAAGCCATTTTAGGGCTTTTTGGCTCGACGCGGTGAGCGATCGCACTATGCGCTGCAACCTGTTCAAACATGTATTTTTACAAGCAAAAACACATAAAACCAAAGCAAAACAGGTTGTCATGTCTCTGTTCAAGCATGCAAAAGCGACGAACGATTCGTTGAACGAAGTTGTTACGAGTGTGCGACGACCGTTCGTGACAAGCCGCTCTAATCATACCTCTACATGATCAAGTCCCTCCCATGGGACTCACTGGTACTTGCATTCGAACTTTTCCCTCAGTGGTACACAGCCCCCATATGTTGATGACGAAGGCTTTCATCCGATGCAAAATTTGATGCACGCATGGAAGACCCGCCTCTGCGATACCATGGTTTTCACTCCTTGAATCTATAGCCCTTCTTGTCATCGTGTTGCTCACCGAAGTGGAGCTCCCAATAGCTCCCGATCATATCTCCGTTTGATATAGTCCCTCACGGGACTATATTCGTGTGTATCGCATTGCCACGAATTGTTCCACCATGATCCGCTGCACCATGTCGCCTCCTGGTGACATCTCCATTGCATTCTGATCCTTGCGGGATGAACTCGGATTGTGATCCCTCCATGTGTGGCCTCTACCAACACATCGCAGAGCCTTTTCCACCTTCGATTGTGTTCGCTTATTTGGCAATCGACCTTCGTCCACCCGCTCTCGGGTCACACCTAGATGAAACACCGCTCTAGGACAGTCCGTCGCCTAGTAGCTACCAAAATCCACCGACTTCGCTGAAATTGGTGCACCATTGTCTGGATCCTAGGCCTCTGCCCCTACCAGCACAATCTCCGCTGCGCACCGCATCCTTCATGGCAACTTGAATGACAGCACTGTAGCATATTCTTCAAGAGTACCCGCCTCTTGCCCCGTGCCAAGGTCTTCTGAACCCAACTTCGCCTCTACAAGTTGAGTCACCCTAATTCCTCCATCAAATGCTTCTCTAAGGTAAGGTGCATATGCCTCGAAGCTCCCTTCGTCTTTGGCACCATGCAGGATGAGCCCGCTCCATCAGACTGAGAGACCCATGGAACGACATGATCTCGCTCTTGCCTCTGTAAGAGTTCATGTCCTTGACCTCTGTCCAAGGAAAGCTCTGTGCCTCCGCTCCATATTTTATCTTCTATGTCGGCTCCCTTCATGCGGCTTGGGTACTTCGCCAAGTTACACCCAAGTTGCTCCGCTCCTCATTTTGCATTGAGTTGATGATGGTCCTCACGCCCACCATTACACAGGTCAGCCCTCCATTAAGTCCGATCTCCATATCGACTCTAAGTGTGCCTTCATTTATGTTGCCTCAGATCGCTCACCCACTTGATCTCGCAATGCATCCCCCCAAATGCATTATTTCAAGCGAGATCATACAACGACTCCTCGCCGCTCGCTCGGTCCGTTGAGCTTTGTGAAGTTGTTTTTGAGGTACTCCTCAACATGTGCGATCTGTTGCACATGGTTCTCCCTCTGAAAAGTCGAGACTTATCCCTCCTGGATATCTGTCCCGTTGGAGCAACTTATCTCTTCGCTTCCTTCTCTCTGAAAGTTTTGGAGACCACCATCCCCTTGGACGACTCCGCCTTGCTGAACAAACCGTGCATTGTTCTGCCTCCCGCAAACGCACTTGCTAGATTGCGACTCTACATCAATACAGTCCCCGCTGCACCCCTCAAGGCCTAGCAACATACTGAACTCGCTGCACACTTTAGCCTCCTACGGACGTATCCTTCTCATGTTGAAGAGAAAGTTTCAATGCTTCATGGCACCGAGTTTCGGTCTCCTTTGGATGGCCACGAACACTTCATCGTTCGCATACAAGTCTTTGCATGAGTACCGAATTCTTCGAGTTAGCAATTCCCCTCATCTTTGTGAGCTTTGCATAACTCTTTCGGTCGCTGAACAACTCATTCCACCTTACATTGTCTCATCCTTTACCAAGCGCCTCGCTTGCCTTGAGCACCATCAAGTATAGTTGCCAATGTCAAGCTGTAGCTCAAACTCAGCCATCCCAACCTTTGTGCGCTATGCATTTTTCCCAGTTTGCTTGTCCTCATGGTGCCTCTTGCGCGAAGGGTTGGCCATTCCTCTAAATGTCAATCTCAGATGTCCGCTCCTCTGAGTGACTCCTTTTCCCTACATCTCCATGCCCGTTTTCCCTCAAACGGTCGCTCGTGCTGGCTGCCCTCAACACAGCCCCGCTAGGTCCCCCACGTTTGCATGTCAAGTATTTTTATGAGTGCTTATTCCGCTCTGATACCATCTGTCACGGACTTAGCTGGTTTTTCCTAAGTCGTGCGGCACCCATGTGTGTCCGTCCGCAATGGTCAGCCTCTTAAGACCTACAAATGAGAAAATGGGTTAGAGAAAGCACCTTACTCGGGATCCACAAGCAATTATTTTAGGAAACACTTCATAACCAATGCAAATTACAAACAGACTTCACAAGCTCTGAACGGTTGCACAACAAAGGATCCAAAATGGTCCAATACAGACCGAGATCTCCCACAAGTGTTCACATGACACAACCTTTATTTACAAGCCTAAAATGGCCACCAAACCCAACTAAATTGGGGTTATTAAGCCTTCGACCGTCCCTCTACATGCTGTGCAAAACATGAACAAACCAAAAGACACGGACATTCATGAGCATTACATTAAACACCCTGTTTACCGTTGTCCGTGACAATATGGTGCACTGAGGTGTACTGATGTATTGCCCATACTAGTCCTCTGTCGAACCGATACATACCACAGTACACTTCAGTACGTCAAACCTTGGTTGAAACAATATGTCATGATCGAAAGCTTCGATGAACCATCACTAAGTAATCAAATAGCTTAAAAAACACACTTTTAGTTGAAAAGTGATTCATTTCCCCAATTTAGTTACGAGTAACTTTCAAGCTGACTGATGATAAAACTAAATGATTCAAAGTAGGCCATCTTTAGAAACCATTCTCCTATTGTCCAAATTAAATGATCCAAGGACCTACTCACCAACATCTAAATTAATTAAATTAGTCTTCAAAGGTTATACCCAAATTTTATATCATAATGGCCGCAAAATGTACTGTATGTACATCTGTATAAGATGAAGACAAGTTTCTAGCATAATGACAGCTTTTTGTTACTCCAGAAAATACAAGAATTAGATTTACATATGCTAAATGTTCTAAGTTGCACTTAGCCACATAAGGTTCTTACTAGAAGTGGAACACATTTATCAGCCAATGACTTAAGCTTCAAAACTAGTCCTACAGCAAGGGGAACTTAAGGAATGAAGTTCAAACTAAAGGCACAAGATACTCAAGGTCATGCTATACAGAGAGAGAAAGAATGAGGAAAAGGAGGAGTTATATGATACCATGCAATAAAGGAGAGACAGTGATGAATCAGAACAGATGAGGAGTGCAGCAGTGGTGAGGAGGCAATGATAAAGCAAGGCAGAGAAGCAGAAGCAAAAAAAGAGGAAGAAGAGAAAAAAAAAAAAAAGGTACAACAAGTAGCGGTACAGGGGAGTATAATTTGGTACCGGTTAGCTTACACCCCATAACCCCCCGCGCAAAAAAAAAAAAAAATCTATTAACTCTAACAGGCAATAATCCCCGTCACGAACTAGACCAGGGAACCAATTAGACTGGTAAAAACCAGCCTGTACCCACTGATACTACCACTTTTTTAAATACTTGACGTTACAACAGAAGGTTTTGCAAAGAGGTTCATCTCAGTCTTCATAATAATCCCTCCAAAATCTGAAATGTGGATGTATTTCAAAATTAATGGCATGTTACAGAATAAGCCTGCCAAAACCTCTTAGGAAACCTTATCACCTGCTTGTGGTTCTGTATATTAACAACAGACGATGTCATAGCCAGGTTTGACGACAGCAATCAATATAATGCAACAATATTGAAAACAGTAAAAGAATTGAAGTAAACTTTTGCCAACAATAAGACATGGTAACCTAAATAGAGAAATACCTTATTTTTTATTTTGTATGTTATTTTTGCATGGATCGGTGGATCCAGCGGAGTACTTGTTTGACTTGATATTGCCTTTCTATCAGCTTCCATGTGAACCTGGAGTATGAGGTTCAGAAAAAGGGCAACTTAGGGACATTAATAACATCCAAGCCAAAGTTGAGATGATATAGAAAACAGCTGAGAGCACCTCACAACTAAATGAAATCTATATGATTTTCAATGATATGTATGACTAAGAAACAAAGTCTGCATAATATCCTTTACAGCCAAAGAATCATGAAGCTCCACCATAGATAAGTTTAAACTTATCTTGGATGTACCGAAGTAGATTAAAACAGATAGAAAAGGAAAATTAAATACTCTTTCACGGATCGTAGCTAGTAGTCCATCATTCCACTGCTCACCATCCAAGGAGATCTCTGCAAAAGAATGATTTCTGGATGAGTAGTGTCTATATCATATAGTATACTAGCACACCAAAAAAAATAATGCTTGCCAACATTTGTGATGTCTTCAAGATATCCAGAATTAGAAAAGAAATACTAGTAACAAGATGGTATATACAGTAATTGATGGTCGAAAACTATTAGTCTATAAGAGCTGAACATAACCAGAGTGCCATAGTAAGAACAAAGAGTCTATATAAGTGAGCATAAGCATAATGATGTAGGACAACCTTTACTACCAAATCTGATTTAGGATGAGTACTTTTACTGATTTGATGTAGGACAAGTATTGACACAGAAGAACTGTTTTTTTGTGTCTGACAATTGGAGGATGACAAAAAGAGAGGAAGAACAGATAATTACAGAAAGATAATAGGAAAAATAGAATAACTACCAAGCTTGCGCTTTAAAAGAACCCTTCAAGGGATGAAAGTATTACACCTCATGTCTTAAATGTGAACAATGAAATCTTACTATCGAAAAAAAATATATGGCCTCACACCATCCACGTGTATATAATGTGGGGAAAAACTATTCATTCATTGAAAAATTCATTTATATCCCAATTATGGATTGCAAAACCAATTGGTTGATACAATTTGATAGGTATTTACTGTCACTGCCGGAGCAGCCCAAACCAAATGGTCAAGTACGGTTCACTACATAGTATACACAATATCCTTTTTTTTTTTCTTTCAACCTCATTCTAGGGCTCGATTAGCAACACAAATCCTCGAGAGGAGTCATGAGAAGCAGCCTAGATGCCCACTCTAGCACATTTTCTCCTCCTCTTCTTCCTTCATCTTTATCTTCCTTCTTCTTCTTACTCCTCATTCTTTCTTTTCGTACTTCCTCCCCTCCTCTCGTTCCCCAAACACTACCATAGTCAAGTCCAATCACTGAATTGCATTCCTTGATTCTAATTACAATCTCTTTTCATCGCTTATAGACCCAGGTTCATCACCGAAAAACAAAAATAAAAGAGAAAGAATACAATTACATCAAAGCAAAAAAATCATCGAATTTTTTTTTTCTTTGAAGAAGATAGGTTCATGTATTTGATTTGAAATTAATCTTCTTTTTTGATAATATATCTAAACGAAAGGCTTTCATCTTTGTGGGACAATGAAACTTCCTTATATCGATGAAATCTTCAATTAAACCAAGCCTTGATTTCTTCTGTCTTTTTCTTTTTAGACTTCTTTTTTCTTATCTTTGGAAAATTTAGAAAACTAAAATATAAATATTAGAGATGTTGTTGTGTGACAAGTTCTGGCATTTATGAAAGATCCTCTAAACTAATTAAACTCATTCAAATAAGAAATAAGTTAAAATGATACTCGTATAACAGAATACGATAGTTTTCTTTGTGGATTTATGTGTCTAGCATGAACTTTAGAAGAGGACACATATGAGTTGGTTCCCAGGTCGAAACCAAAGTATTTCCACTAAAAGTATATGCATACAAACCTACAACATATACACAAATGCATAAAAGATGCATATACATAATTAATGATGAAACCCAAAAGAAACATTACAAGATGCCACCATACTATGAATGCCAGTGGTAAATATTAAGAGATAAGTCAATAAGCTTTAGTGAAACTATGACATGAAAAGGAGACCTTCAGATTGAGCAGCTCGTGCAGCTTCAAATTCTTTCTGCAAACGCTCAAATATCATCTTATCAGAGTCCCTGTGGGAAAATAAGACAGACTATAGTCTCCAAACAATGTCAAAATCGAGTATAAGCAACTTACATGGAATATAACAAGGGATATCTTATAATTAGACATCAACTGACGAGCATCAGGACCTAGGAATTCATGACTTTCTCATGCTTGACATAAATATGCATGCAACAAAAGAAAAAAAACGCAAATCCATCTGGAAGCAACTTCCATTATGTATGCTTGTGCAGTATCTACTCAAGTGAAAATGCAAAAAGCAGTCTGAGCTTCATTTTCCATAAAACAGAACCAATTGTAAGTAAAACAGGAATTTACATTATTACGCATTTCTAACCATCAAAAGTAGATTATAAATTATTAGTTAAGGATTTAAATGCCAGTCTATGTCTTGGCACATCATGGTATACCACTAGTGGAATAGCATGCAAGAATATTTGATGTGTAGGTACTACTTCTGATTGGGACTTTACGGCTTTGTTGTTGTATTACTTCTGGTAAACTAGTACGGGGTCAGATGGTAACAAGTTTAGTATTTGAAAACTTGATTGTCATACAACTTTGGGTTGCCATTAGTCATAAATAGCCAGTATTTACTAGTAAGAACTTATACTAAATGTGATAATACTTTGGAGCACCTTCCAGAACCATCTGACAACACCACCTTCAACCACTCACATCTTTGCTCTGAGGTGACACATATGCTGTAGCGACACTACAAAAGGTTGATCACTTCTAAACACTTTCTTATTATAACTCAACCTAATTCATTTTCATTTTTTCCATTTTTGGTTCTTAGCAGCACCTAATGGTTCCTCATATTGGAAATATCTTGGCAGACACAGGTTGAAACTATGGATGTTGTCATACTTAAATCCTTCATTAGGCAAGTGTCCAAAGGTGTCTTGACAAACATATAACCCACCTTGTACCTATATACCAAAAACTCGTTGGGCTAAATTGGGGAAAGGATCATCAAAAAAAAAACATTTAACTAGTTAAGAGTTAAATTTTGACTGACCAACACTCAAAGAAAGCAAACACTTCATGATCCAAAAAGTGGACCTTAGCTCTATAAAATTCTCCTATTAAAAATATGCTTTCAGAGAACGGCAAATTGAGAAGGTTCATAACATAAACCATAGTGATTTCATAATAATCTGTTAACTGCCTCATAAAAATGTGTTAGCAATGAAAACTTAACAAGTTACTCAAGGCAACGGTAGAAAGTTAATTGTTCAACTACAGGAGTCAACTTGACGTAGGACAAGAAATTTAAGGATATAAAAGTGGATGAATTATGACTCAAGAGTCTGTCACAGAAGTACTGGATAGTTGGCTAAATCACAATAATATATAGCATTATGGTAGCCTTAAAGGATCTTCCCTTGTCTATTCACAGTTTAATAAAGATATAAACTAAATCTAGTACTTAATAAAAACTGCCCTAGTAAATTGGACCCAACATTATGACCAAAATCATTTTACTCCAAAAATGATTATTTGGAGAGAGAGAGAGAGAGAGGTTACATTCTCTTACAGTATGAAAAACATGCAGTAGATGGAGAGTCTAACTACCGCATGAAAAGGTGAATTTAATGCCAGATCCACCAATAAAAAGTATCAATTGTTGGTAATCCCCAAAAAATGTTTACCTTGATAACCGCTCCTTCAACTCTTCATGCCTTTTGAGCACATTTGACACTGAAAAAAGCCAACAGATGCCTCACATCTCCATCACACTTTTACTTTAGAAACAGCTTTTTCATTCTCCTCTAGGAAAGAAAAAAAAATCATGGACACAAATTGCACAAAACAGATGGCTTACATCGAGCACGTGTCGTCTCTAGTCGAATATCCTCCTCCTGTGCAAATTTCTAAAAGATAACTGAATTATTAGATGGCTCTTATATATCTCCCAATAGAGTTATCTCGTAAATAATCACACTGAGAAAGACATTCGAAATAAAATTTGTATACCACTTCCCCAGTTAGTGCATACGACCTTCTCCTCAATTGCTCTATTTGCTACAGAATAGGAATGAATGTAGTTAGTGCATTGTACCAATAATATTCTTTCATTATGTATAGACTTTTATAAAACACTACAAGGATTAAAAAAACAAGGATAATTATTAACCATTTAACAAGAAAAAAATAAACTAAGACGCTCCAGAATAGAGAACAAAGAATACGAACTTCAACGAGATAGTAGTTTATATGAACTTGGATTCTGGATATCTAGAGATTCGTTTGGAAGGTTTTTTTCTATACTTCTTTGACAGGCAATATGGTATATTGATTTGATTCAGTTAAACTTTTCTTTTTTGGGTCATGTGCACATCCAAAAAAGACAAAGACAAAGATAAACATTGCCAATCACAGGCTTTAGGCAACTAACCATGGTCTCATATTTAGCAGGCAAGGAAGATACAAGCTCCATACATTTGTCTTGGGATGGTATATATCTGCAACCTAAACCTTCCAAAAACAACATATAATAACCACGTTCTACTAAAAATTTGTTTGTGGCACTAGAAAATTAAAATTTGTTCATAGAGGCCTCAGAGTCCTCCAATGGTGGCAAAGCAGCACATCCACCAGATCTCAAGAACAACTCAGCAAATATCGAGCAAACCCCCTATAAACAGTTAATGGCTTAGAGATAACAAAGATATTGCAGTACAATTTGAGCAAAACTAACCAGCTAATGGCTCGAGCTTCATCAATATCACTCTTTTTTGACCAATTGGTGAGACATATTCGAAAGAATTATAATACAACAACAACAAGGCCGTAAAGTCTCACCTATTTAAGTCAGCTACATAGATACTTTGCTGCCATTGAGATCCATAAAGAAACATATCTTTAATTAACATCATTTTTGGTCTTCCACTATCTCTCCTCGAAACACTAATTTTAATCATCTCAACTCTTCTAACTACCACATCTATAGGTTTTCTTAACACATGTCCATACCAATATAAACAATTCTCCTATTCTCTACTGAGACGATACCTAATGGGTTATGAATGAAAATATTTCCTTTCATATCTTTCCTAGTAGCTCCACAAACCCACCTCAACATTTTTATCTCAGTAGCACAAACATTTATATACATTATTTCTTAACTATCCAACAATCAGATCTATAAAGTGTCGAACTGTATCATAAAATTTTTCTATTAGTCATAAAGGTACCGATGATCATACGAAATTTATAGTGCCCTTTGCCAATTTAACCATCATACTTTTACTCTACAAATAATATCTTTGCAATGTGATATAAGAACTGATAATATAAGAATATAATAAATAACAGTTTGATTGGCTGTAATTAAGCCCAATTCCTTTTGTCTTAGTTGTAGAATTTCTTATGATACTTAACCTACTTAAATATGTCTCCATTATCCACTCAAATTCTGTCATTAGCTCTCCCCTGAAAAAGAAAAATGGTAATATAACTCAATCTAAATCCCGGAGGCAGGCAGTGACATCAGTTGGCCTCACTCATTCAGATTTCCATTTGCTAGCCACAGTCACTTCTAATATCATCTCATGATTTCTTGTTTGGATCTGTCTATACAGCTTTCTGATTGAGTTCAAGCCTTCACATGGTAAAGAAACTTCAGTAGAGTACTAAATAGAGTCCAATGTAAGGACTGACATTCTGACAACAGGATCTGGCTGGGTAACAGAGACATCCTAGATCAGGTTAAGTGATAACAAGAAGTGGGAAACCATATTTTGACTAAGAATAAATATTTGGTTGGCATCATTGCATGACGGAGTGAGTGACACAAATCTTAAGATGGTTTGCTCATATCTTAAGACCACGGACATAAGTATGTAAATCATCAAAAAATGGGGACTCTTGTTATCTTCTCTCAGAGACTTGCATGGACTGCAGTAAATACGACTAAAGAATGCCGAGGTACATCCCATCTTCAATTATGTATCCAAATTCTAAAAAACAAATTCAATAGAGATAAGCTAGATTAACTGAACCATTCAAAGCTCAAAGCATGCCGCACGACGCCTAAAGAACCTGATCAAGGAAAAGGTCCAGAAAGACTAAGAGGGCATCATCATATGCAAGATTATCGAATTTGAACCGAAATCGTATAGCAATCATCAACACCAAGACATCATAAAGGAACAACAAGAACGAATATTCGTTCGATTCAGAGAAGGACGAAAGGAGAGATCGATCGTGCCTCGGCCGAGCTCCCGCGGGCGTCTCTGAGCGCGACGACCTTGTCGAGGTCATTGACGCCCTTGCATATCTCTAACGGTGGCTTCTCGCCAGCCATCGCCCAAACCCCACAAATCGAAACCCTAACGCCGTCTCTCTCCCGCCCACTTGTTTCTTTGCCTTCCCGCGAAGCACCGGCAAGAACGATGAAACCCTGCTTTAAGAGCACAAATGAAAGAGGGAGGAACAGCCCTCGGAGTACCTTTGGAGGCAGGAGGTCACGTGACGTCGGCTCCTACAGTGCGGCGCATTAGCAGCGAGATCACGCCGTCCATGAGATCCAGCGGTAATCCTGAAGACGCCAATCATCTCTACACGCATTTGGAAGTACGATGGAGATATTTTCTAGCAGTGGCCATCACGAAGTGGCAAACGCTTCTTCTCCGTCCGATTCACACGCATGCAGAATCTTGCGCAGGATTAACGTTAACTGCCAATGCCAATGTGAGACCTCAGCAGGAATAACAGGTGCATTACACACTATTTAGTAAAAATAAGAGGGCTCTTCACATATATTAACAAATATTAATGTTATATATATATATATATATATATATATAGTATAGTA